ATGGAGGCATATATTGGAGTTGTACAGAGAAATATACTGCCGTCAAGATGATGTCTTTCATGGGAAGTCCATGGTTATTAGATCAAGACAATGTCAGCTCTTATTCTGCATGTGCTACAACAGCGTGGTTTTGTAGACTCAGAGTGAATGTGCCTGCAGTCCAGATCTGACTCCTATTGAAAATGTATGACCAGTCATGAAAAGGAGAATCAGACAATGACAATCACAGACTGCTGAGCATCTGAAGCCTTGTTTCAAGAGAGACTGGACAAAAATTTTGCTTGCAAAACTTTAACAATTAGTATCCTTAATTCCCAAACAATAAGACATTGTAATTAAAAGGAAAGTTGATGTGACAGTGTTAAACGTGCCTCTGTCCCAACTATTTTGGAGTGTGTTGCAGCCATCAAAATAAAAATGTGTTCATATTTACAAAATACATTTACGTTGGTCAGTGAAAACTTTGGAAATCTTTTCTTTGTATTTTTGTCAATTAAATAAAAGTTAAAGAGAATGAACAAATCACAGATTCTTGATTTTATTGCATTTTTACAAAAATTTGGGGTTGTAGAATCTGCTTAAAATGTACTCTACAAAAACTGCATCAGACACATCTTTCAATTCTATTTTCATAAGTCAACATACAATTTACAAGCACTTACCCAAAGTTCTCCCATGGAAAGCTCCCATGAAAGACAAGATGCTCAAATCTGGGCATCCAGGACTCTGAGAGAGAGAAAAAAAGAGATTAGTGTGTGTAAAAATAAAATGATGTTGCGTAGTCATATGCGTAGTGTTTTTTTCTAACCTGGTTGATCATGCAAGTGCCGACTTCCTGCTCAGAGGGGTTGGCGTATCCTCTCTCCTTATTCTAGAAACCAGTAAAAACAATGATTAGATATCAGGTGATTTAAGAGTTATTAATGTGTATAAAGTAGGGCTGTCAATAACAATATGCCCATTAATCAAATTAATATATATATATATATATATGACCTTTTTAATGTATTATTTTCCAATAGTCCACAACAATCTATTTCAGTCAATGTGCAAGTATATCATATATGACCCTGGACCACAAAACCAGTCATAAGTAGCACGGTTATAGTTATAGCAATAGCCAACAATACATTGTGTGGGTCAAAATTATCGATTTTTCTTTTATTCCAAAAATCATAAGGATATTAAGTAAAGATTATGTTCCATGAAGATATTTTGTAAATTTCCTACTGTAAATATATCAAAACCTAATTTTTGATTAGTAATATGCATTGCTAAGAATTCATTTGGACAACTTTAAAGGCAATTTTCTCAATATTTGGATTTTTTTTGCACCCT